GGCCAGGCGGCCCCGGCGGCCCGCCGGGCGGCGGCAGGGGCCGCGGCGGCGCCGCGGGGCGTGGGGAGCGGCGCTCGCGGTGGGAAGGCGCAGAGGAAGACGGAGGCGGCGGTGGCAGGGGCGGCGGCGGCGGGAGGGGCGACGGCGGCAGGGGGGACGGCGGCAGGGGAAGGGGCAGGGGCAGGGGCCTTGCTGGCGGCGGCGGCCCGCAGCTGGGCGGGGCTCCTGGTGCTTCGGAGCCGTGGCAGCAGCAGCAGCAGCAACAGCAACAGCAGCATGCACCCTGGCCGGCGCAGCAGCACGCGCAGCAGCACCCTGGGCCGCGGCGCGCCTCGCCGCCGCGTGCGGCGGCGCCGCCCCCGCTGGGGGCCGGGCCGGGGCTGGGCGGGGCGATGCAGGTGGTGCACCTGCCGCCCCCAGGGGTGGAGTATGGCGCCGGCGGCCTGAGCTTGGCAGTGCCTGGGGCCGGCGCCCCTCCGGCGTATGGCGGGGCCGCGCCCCATCATCTTATGGGGGGTCCGTCCCAGCAGCAGCACGTGGGCGGGCCGCAGCAGCAGTGGGGCGGCGGCGGCGGGCCTCACGTGCCGCATCTGGGGGCCCCTCCGCAGCAGTGGGGCGGCGGCGGCGGCGGCCCGTTGCCGCAGCAAGGCGGTGGGCCGCCGCCACACCAGCAGCATCAGCAGCAGCACATGGGGGGCCCTCGGCACGGGCCGCCGCCGGGGCGGCCGCCGCAGCGGGGTGGCCACCACCAGCCGTCCCCCGGCGGCGGGCGGCAGACGCGGTGGCAGTGATCGAGCGCCCCCTCTCTGCGCGCGAGTGCGTGCACGATCGCGGGTTTCAGGGCGGTGGCCGACCTCGATGTTCGTGTGCCGCCCCCCTGTGTGGTGTCGTGGCATCCTGAATGGGTGCGGCTGTGGTGTTTGTAGCGCCATGGCTGTGCGCATGTTGGTGTCAACACGGGACGTCGCATGGCCGTGTACTGGCAAGCCGCCCTTCAGCATCATAAATCACGATGCAGGGGTTGATTGCGAGGCAGAGTCGCGGCGGGTGGACCGCTCATTTGCAGGGGCCGGGCGGGGGTTGGCCGCGCCAAGCGCTGCGCTGCTGGGGAATGGGCGGCGCCTGCCAGGCCAGACCAGGGGGCGACAGAAGGGTTTGAAGGGTTTCGAAGTGTGAAAGGGCGGTGCATCAACGGGCAGTGCAGGGGCGGGCGGCATGCGACGGCCATCTGGATCCAGGGCTGTGTGAAGACTAGGGCAAGGGCCAGTCGTGTTGAGCTGGCCCGGATGGCGGCAGCCAGGTTGCAAGTCAAGTCATGAGGCAGCGCCGAAGCCTGGCCCATCGCCTCGAATCGACCTGTATGCTGACAGTGCAGCCCGATCTGTGTGCAGCGGGCAATATGACCCGGTGCAGGCATGAAGGGCGGGGTGCAACGCATAAGCGTGGGGCGCGTCTTGCTATGTTGGGTGTTGCCCAGCAGCGGCCCGGGGGGGGGCTGCCTTAAACCCTGCCTGCTTGGCACACAGCCCCAGCCGGTGCACGGCGGGTGCCTCAGCTGCAGGTCGACTCTTGAACCTTCACTGCCGGGCCCGGCGGCGGGCGGCTCGCCGCTGGCGGCCACAACAAATCATTTGCGGGACCGGTGCGTTGGCGCCTGAGCCCATTGCTCAGGCGTGTTTTGCTGCTGTTGCAGGCTGCTGCACGCCTTGACAACCACCCCCGCCGTTTGTAACAATCTGTTGTCTTGCCAGGCGGTAGGAAAGGCACGACTTGGCGCAGGGGTGGCAGCTGCCAGGCAGCCGCCCCACGAAGCGGCAACAGAGGGGCCGCAAACAACGACCAGCCGCGAAACCCACAAACATCCCTCAGGTCCTGTGCTAAAGTCGTCTCTGCTGTGCGGTTGAAGGAACAGCGCCGCTGCCTGCCACTCGTACTAAAAAAAGGAGGCATTGTGCCGGAAGCTGTGGCCTAGCGCGATTTGAAAGCTACCCCATAACCAGCCTGTAGGAACCTGTCGCTGCACTGCCTACCCCGCCTCCCAAGCCCCACGAGCAAAGCAACACAGCTGCCGCCCTGCACTCAATCTCCCTCCACCATTGGCGACGGCGTCGCCGCCGCCGCGGCGCCCGCGGCGCCGGCCCCCACCGCCGTCGCCTCCGGGGGCAGCCGCACCAGCCACCCCCCCTCCCGTGCCATGCCCACCAGCCGCGCCAGCAGCGGCACGCCCGCCAGCGTCCGTGCGGAGCCCACGACCAGCAGCTTCACGCGCGCGCGCGTGAGTGCCACGTTGAGGCGCTGCCAGTCGGCCAGCAGCTGCCCGGCGTTGCCGGCCGGGTTGGAGCGAACCAGGGACAGCAGCATCACCGCCTTGTCGCGGCCCTGGTAGCGGTCGATGGTCGCCACCTCCAGCGGCCCGCACGCGGCGGCGGCGGCGGTGCCGCTGGGTGGCCCCCGGTCAGAGATGGGGCCCCCTTGGCTGGCAACCAGCTGCTGCTGCTGCTGCTCGTGGTGCTCATTCGGGCCGGCGGTGAGGGGCGCCAGCACGCGCTGCAGGTGGTTGACCTGCCGCGGCAAGAGCAGTTTTGGGG